GATGTTCTTGCAGCCGCTGAGTTGCGGTTGCATTCATCGACGGTCTTGTCCATGTGGTAGTTCGTGTATTGTGGTCGACATAATATGTACGTCCAAGATGATCTACACGACGTTCCCACCTACAAATATATGAATTATAATATTATCGGTATGCATAAACATAGGCTTTCGTTTGTATTTACAGAATTTTGTATGCATAAGAGAGAAAATCTTTACCCTGGAGGCAATGGTGCGTTGTCTTCCATGTGACTAAATGCCCTCGCTGAATTATTACCACCAGAAGTTGTGCTTGGTCCTGGTACCGCGTTTCCGTTGGCTGCTGAAGGGGTCGAATTAGACAAACTCAAAGATGCGAAATTTTCGACTAAACTAGCCCTCTGATTTGAATTTGAGTTTGATGATGATGCAATAGAATCCGAACGCGTATGATTTGGCATGGAACTCAAATTGTCTCTTACAGGAGGAGGAGGCGATGAATTTACATTTGTTGATAAGCTGATAATGAGTTTACCGTGTACTACTTCATTTGCATTTGATTTTTTCAAATCTCTTGTCAACATCTCTGTATAAATGAGGTTATAAAAAAACAAAAATAGTTATATTAGCTTAACTTGTTGGACCATAATATTATATGAATTTATGTTATTAAAAAAGTTTCTTTTTTAACAGTATGTAATGTGATAAAGTGATGTGCTTACCATCGCTATCAGTGTTAACGTCAAGGTCAAATGCATCTCCTACTTGAACGTTGATTACGCCTAAAAATCCTTGGTCCTTCCTTTTAAACTTTTTTTGGTCAAATATTTGAACTGCAATTACGCTTTGATTTGTTACTTGTCTACAATGTTGAGAATCAAAATTTATGAATATTACGTATAATTGCTATAGTTAAAGAAAAATAGCAGAACACATACATATTAAAACTCTCATTCCAATATGGATTCAAAGTTTTCTTAGCCACAGTTGTAGTATGTGTTTGTTCTCCGTCTACAGTTACAACTGCAAAAGGATCAGGAAGTCCTATGAAGACGAAACGTAAAACGGCAATTCAGATCACCCTATACTAACACTCCTGAAAAATTCGTAAACAAAATTACGTACGAAATACGTCTCTTTTATATAGGCCATCTGCAGCGATGACTAGCAGTATAAAGGAAATGGAACAAAAGTATGTCAATCATCTTGTAAAATATAATTAAACTAGGTAAAAATTTGCAGACCTGTTAAGCGTATTGTTTTTCTTTATAAAGAACGAAAATAAGAGTTATTGTTATTTGGAAGTAAAAAAAAAAATAATGTCCAACAAAGAAACAAAAACATAATTGATTATTGATAAGAGTTAAAATGAATTGGGTAAGCCACCAGTTAAATCATACTAACGTTTGTGGATTCGACATTTTCGTTATAAAGAGCCTAAAGCTATTACAAATGTTATATCCGTAACAATAGCACCCTGTTTTTTTTATTTATTTACTCTTTTTCTTTTTTTTTTTTGAATGCTTCTTTTATATAAAAGAATCCGTAAAAGAGAGAAACTGATAAAGAACAAATAGTGATCCTGCTTTACGAAT